TTAATTATGCTGGCAAGATTTTATAATGTCTCAAGTTTTTTCAGTTCCTCAGTTCTGGATCAGTAAGCTGTTTTTGTTTTGTTTTGTTTTCTACTTTGTCCCACTTTCTTAGATCCAGGTATATAAAAACGAGACTCAGGGTATCACCAGCTCTGGCTTTGCATCTTTGACTTTTGAGGGAACTTTGGGAGCTCCTGTCATACCTCGTACTTCAAGCAAGTACTTTAACTTCACCACTGAGGATCACAAAAGGGTAGAAGCCTTACGTATCTGGGCATCTAATCACATTCCATCTTCTTCAACATTACTAAAATTGTGTGATGTTCAGCCAATGCAATATTTTGACCTGACCTGTCAGCTTTTGGGGAGAGCAGAAGTGGATGGGACATCATTTCTTCTAAAGGTAGATATTTTTAATACTTGAAATGTAAGTTGTAAGCATCACCTACATGTCTGTAAAGAGTTTATATCTCAGGATTCTGATATAATAAATATGTATACTGTGTATTAAGAACTTAATATTTAGCTCACCATTTATGATGAGCCTGGATAATCATACAGCTCTACTCTTACACTTCTCTTCACACTCTCCTTCCAGAAGAAAATAATATTAAGTCTGTTTTCTAAATATATTGTTGTTAGGTGCTATTGAGTTGGTTCCGACTCATAGCGACCCCATGTACCACAGAACAGAACACTGCCTGGTCCTGTTCCATCCTCAAATCATTGCTATGCTTGAGCCCATTGTATATTCTAAATATAGGATGGTTTATGCTGTGTTTAGTTACGTATTTCTTACACTAATAAAAGATTGACTTCCTTCCTACTGTTGTTTTTAGTTGAAGTTCTGTATGTTTCTTTCTGCTTCCCTATCAGGGAGGCCTTCCTTCTCACTCATTTACTTTCTTGGTAAGTTGAGTTCTTTTCCCTCATCCTTTTACCAACTGCTTCATGGATAAGTCACTGGCAGTTCTGAAGTGTTTGTTCTTTTTACGCTTTTTGTTTTTAAATCAACAGTCTAAAGAAAGTAGTGTAAGACCCATCTATCCTTTGTTTATACCAACCCCACGTTAGTTCATTAATAGCTTCTGGAGATGGCAGTTGTCAGGTATTTTCCTCACTTTCCTATCCTAGGAGGATGTCTTTGAGCAAACACTGCTTTGACGCTGCTCCCTTGATTCTTTGGAGCAATAGGACAAGAACAGGAGTGTGGTGGCACTTAGGTGTTGTTATCATTTACCCCTTGTGCACACTAAGTCACAATGAAGAGAAGTCTTTGAATAAATGAAGTTTTTGAAGTTGAAAATATCACATATTTACATACATAAGAAATGCTTCGAAAGAGTAAATGAATGTTATAAAGAAAGTTAAATAAGTATGACAAAACTGAACTAAAGCAATATTACAGTTAGAAGGAATCTTAGTCAGCTGGTCATACTTTCCACCCAGTGTGACATCCTTAACAAATGAGCATGTGCTTCTGCTGAGCACTTGGGAATGACAGTGACAGGGAGTCTACGGGGCAGAGAGGTATACTCGCATCTCTTGACTATTACGTTGTTGGATAATTCTTAAATTGTGAGATAAAATCCGCCACCTTTTACCTGACACGGTTGAATGTACGTTTTCTCTCTAAGACAACACAACATATGCCTGCATCCCATTTTTATAGATAGCTTTTCACATAAGTGGAAACAGCTTTCAGGTGACTTATTTTAAGCATAGCATTCTGAAGTAAATGTAAGAAATTAAATCAGTAAACTTTCTTCAGGGCGATTTCAAAATAAATCTCTCAAGTCTTTGTATACCCATTAAGTCTATTGTCATGAATTTATTTTAAGGAATAATTTAAAATGCATACAAAAAATCAGTTGAAAGAATATCCTTATATTTTTTACAATAGCAAAAATTTAAAAAAACTCAAATACTAACAATAGAGAATTGTGTAAACTATTTATATATAATGGCATACTCTGTGACTATAAAATAACATTGTATACATACACTTATTGAAATAAATGTTCACAATATTTAAGTTAGTGATAAATGCAGTTTCAGTTATATACTAAAAATTTGCATATACAGAGCAAAAGTATATCTGGAAGAATATATAGCAATATTTTACTAGTGTTATTGCTGAGAAGTGGAGCTATGAAGGATATTTTTTCATCTGACATTAATATTCCTAATATAACTGAAATAATTTCTTAGCTTACTTTTTAAAACCAAAAGGAGCCAGACATTACTACAAACCAGGTCTGGTCAGCATGGAGTATAGCATAATTATTTCCTATCTCAACCTGGTTAGAACACTAGTATACCACAGTGCTTTTATTTTAATGTTTCTAGTAGCCATTGTTACACCAATGATTTCCATTAAAATTATATTTTAATAAATCTGTAGACTCACTAACATTAATCCAGATTTTCTCCATTTGCCTATGCTTATACAGTTTATCTTTCTGAACAATAAACTCTTAAATTGGATTTTCTTTAAGTACAGATATTTTTTGAATAGCCACAGTGTTGGTAAAGCCTCATCTTTTCAGTGTGTTTTTGTAGTCAGCAAGAGATTGTTCATACCCAGAGCTGGTGGATAGTTTTGTGCATCTAACATGTAATTCAGTTTGGACACCAAAAAAGCATAACATAAACCAGTAAATCATCATATTAAAGGGACTGATTCAAAATGTACTATTTACTTTTTCATATGGGTAAAAGTCAGCATACATTTCTGAGAGCTAAGAATTTATCTGAACAAAATTAGCAGAGATACTCAAAGGTTTATATACAAGATGGTAATTACTGAATTATTTACGGTAGCAGAAATTAAAACAACTCACCTGACTAATAAAAGGTTAAA